GCATGCATGCATGCATGCGTGCATGCATGCATATTGGCTGAGTTTTCGGGTGTACATACACTGCAACGAGCGGTGTAGCCTCCCCCTTCTTAGAGACAAACTCGCACGCCCAGGGTTCGAACCCCAGACGAACCAGACAGGCCATGTCAAAGTTAGGAACGTCAAACATCTGCATACAAAAATAAATAAATAAATAAATAAATAAATAAATAAATAAATAAATAAATAAATAAATAAATAAATTAATAAATAAATAAATGTATTAAAATATTTTATTTATTTATTTATTTATTAATGCATTATAGTGTCTGTATACAAAAATAAATTAATAAATTAAATATTATAATACATTTATTTATTTATTTATTTATTTATTTATTTATTTATTTATTTATTTATTTATTTATTTATTTATTTATTTAGATTTATTTATTTATTTATTTATTTATTTATTTATTTATTTATTTATTTATTTATTTATTTATTTATTTATTAATGCATTATAATATCTGCACACAAAAATAAATAAATGAAATATTATAATACATCAATTAATTATTTAATTGTTTAATTAAGTAGTGGGTTTTATTATATTTATTTATTTATTTGGATGTATTATATATTTATTTATATTTTATATTTATACATATATTCCTTAATATACTAACTAATGTATTAATATACTGATGTAGCAGCCCCTTCAAGAGCAGCAGCAGCAGAAAAAAGAGCAGCAGCAGCAGCAAGAACCAGCAGCAGCAGCAGTGCCCAGCAGCAGCCGCAAGGAGCAGCAACAGCAGCAGCAGCAGCAGCAGCAGCAGCAGCAGCAGCAGCAGCTAGTGTGAACAAACCCTGAGGGTTTTATCTGCGCCAACAGAGGCGGCGTGTTCTCCTCCGTCTTCTCTCGAAATACACAGCCCGTACAGCTCCCCTGCATGCACCCAAAGAGGCCTTATACCCCAGCTAGCCACGCAGCTAGCCACGCAACTAGCCACGCAGCTAGCCACGCAGCTAGCCACACAGCTAGCTAGCCCCTCCCCCAGCTCCCACTCGACCCAGCTAGCCACATCTGCGACCAGATAGCTGTTTAGCTAGCCAGCTAGCTACCCAAACAAATACCCACAAAGCTACCTAGCTAGCCAGCCAGCTAGCTAGCTACCTAGCTAGCTAGCCAACTAGCTAGCTAGCTAGCTAGCTAGCTAGCTAGCTGTGTAGTAACTAGCGTACCTATGTGAGCCCTGAAGTGTTTGACGAATTCAATGCCCCCCTCTTTCTGCATCCAAAATTTTATGTGCCCGTCCGTCGACCCGCTCAGAATGAAGCGGTACGCAGCGCTCGCAACCACTGCAACCAACAAACCCTAAACCCTAAACCCTAAACCCTAAACCCTAAACCCTAAACCCTAGAGCGTAAAGATTAAAACATAAAATTGTGTATTCTAGCTGGGAAAGGTTGCTGTTCTGTGTGAGTGGTCTGCTTGCAGGCGTTATCAGCAAACACAAGTTCTGTTTCTAGGGTTTAGGGTTTAGGGTTTAGGGTTTAGGGTTTACCGAAGGTGATCTGTTCTCTGTGCATGAAACTCTTGCTGTACTTTGTAGCCGATGGCAGCTGCTCCAGCAGCAAACCCTCGCACCGCAGACGCCGCCGCTTCTGCTTTCGAGCCGCTGTAGCCTCTACGGGCTTCGGGCCTGAAACACACACAAACCCTAAACCCTAAACCCTAAACCCTAAACCCTAAACCCTGAACGCTGAACGATATCCCTGCATTCCATATCCCCAGAGCAGCCAGAAAGAAACACCCTGAATGGATTGAGGCCACGGGGCTCTTCTCGCTACAGGGCCCTAGGGTTTAGGGTTTAGGGTTTAGGGTTTAGGGTTTAGAGCTTGGCTAGCCCGGAGGCCCACCAAAGTCATCGTCGCTGCTGCTGCTGTCGCCCTCAGCTTCAGCAGCAGCTGATGCTGCTGGCTGGCTGCTGCTGCTCTCCGCAATGTTGCTGCTGCTTCTGCTCTTGCCATTGGCTGTGTCCTTATCGTTGCTGCTGCTGCTGCTGCTGCTGCTGCTGCTGTTGCTGCTGCTGCTGTCCTTGTCCTCGCGAGGCATCCTAGAAGAACCTCCTTCTTTGGCTGCGCGGCCACTGCTGCTGCTGCTGCTGCTGCTGCTGTTGCTTCTGCTGCTGCTGCTGTGTTTATTCTTCGCATCTTCCGCGCTGCCGCTGCTGCCGCGTGAGCTGCTGCTGCTGCTGCTGCTGCCGGTTTTACTTTCCTTGTTGCTGCTGCTGTGCTTGCTGCTGCTGTGGTGATGGTGGTGGTGGCTGTTATGGGCTTCATCATGAGGCCTGCGTGACCCACTCCCTTCTTTGCTGCTGCTGCTGCTGCTGCTGCTGCTACTGCTGCTGCTGCTGCTGCTGTGCTTGCTCCTCCCGCCAGAGTGCTTGCTGCTGCTGCTGCTGCTGTCTTTCTGCTGCAGTGCCTCTTCCTCTGGTGAGCGGCTGCGGCGACGGCCTTTGCTGCTGCTGCTGCTGCTGCTGCTGCTGCCGCCGTCGTTGCTGCTTGCCTGATCGTGCGGCATTGTGGCGGTTTTCGGGTGTACGTACACTCCAACCCCTAAACCCTAAACCCTAAGCCATGAACCCTAAACCCTAAACCCCTCAAGAGAAGCCGCAACTATCCTTTTAGGTAGCGGGCCCTCACGTAGCAGGAACAAACCCCTGGAAACCCGATGGAGGGTTTAGGGTTTAGGGTTTAGGGTTTAGGGTTTAGGGCTCAAGCTCCAAGGGGAGTCGATTGTCTGCGGTTCTCAGCAGTCCCTCAATGACAAATAAAATAAAAAAAATAAAATTTAATATTCAGGTGTTAGGGTTTACGCAGAAAAGGGTTTGCTGCTGCAGTGGAGGGCCCCACTGTTGGGGCCCCTGAAACCCTAAACCCTAAACCCTAAACCCTCGGTGAGCGAGGCAGTTAGTAGGCAATTTGTTTGTGTATTGATGTCTTCTGGATTTATAAATTTAGTTTTTAGGGTTTAGGGTTTAGTGTGCAGCCATAGTTTCGGTGGTTACAGGCAACGCTCGCTCCGTCGAGAGCAGAGCAGTGTAAACCCTAAACCCTAAACCCTAAACCCTAAACCCTAATCCGATATGAAATGTGACGCCTTCTATGACAACGCGGTCTTCATACAACTCTTACTTACTGGAACTTTAGGGTTTAGGGTTTAGGGTTTAGGGTTGCAGCAACAGCACGATGAAGGCGCTACGCAGCGCAGTAGGGGCCCGTATCTGCGGGCGCCTTGGTGGCCTTCGTGGCTTCTCACCTCCTGCAGCTATGCAGCAGCAACAGCAGCAGCAGCAGCAGCAGCAGCCGCAGCCACTGCAGCAACAGCAGCAGCCGCAGCCACTGCAGCAACAGCAGCAGCAGCAACACTCGTCAATGTGGCTCTCTGTTTCTGGTAGCCGGATCGGTATAGCTAGCGCCGCTAGCAGCAGCAGTCTACCGAGCAGCTCCAGCAGCAGCAGCAGCAGCAACAACAACAGCAACAGCAGTAGCAGTAGCAGCAGCAGCAGCAGCGCATGCAGCAGCAGTAACGGCAGCAGCAGCAGCAGCAGCAGCACATGCAACGGCAGCAGCAGCAGCAGCAGTTCGCATGTGTTGGTAGGTGGAGCTTTGCTGATAGAGGAGCGTCGGGGGCCCCCTGGGGCCCCCCCAGTCTATACGGTGACCCTGAACCGTCCGCGGCGTCGCAATGCTTTGTCTCTGCCGCTGCTGCAGCAGCTGCAGCAGCTGCTGTTGTCTATCGAGCGAGAAGAAGCAGCAAACGCCCTCATCATCCTAAAAGGGGCGGGAGATAAAGTATTCTGTGCAGGTAAAACCAGGTGTATATACACCCCAAACCCTCACTACACTCAAACCCTAAACCCCAAACCCTAAACCCTCAACTTCTCCCCATCACACTCCATCTAAACCACCACATTGTCAACTAAACAGCAGCAGGAGCAGCAGCAGCAGCAGCAACTGCTGCTGCATTCGCTGAAGAGCATGCAACACACAAAGAACTGCAGCAGCAGCAGCAGCAGCAGCAGCAAGTGTGCCGGAGACACGAGCAGCAGACGCGGCAGCAAGATGCCGCCGCAGCAGCAGTATCAGCAGCAACAGATCGCAGCAGCAACAGCAGCAACAGCAGCAACAGCAACAACAGCAACGGTCAGCAGCAGCAGCAGCAGCATCTGTCTTTGTGACATACAGAGAAGGTTCTGTCTGTCTCTGCTGTGTCTTCACTATTCCAGTTAGTGTATATTCTCTTAGTTTGCTCTTTGCACTGCACCTTCAGCTGCTGCTGCTGCTGCTGCTGCTGCTGCAGCTGCTGCTGCTGTGTGTGTGTTTGGGGTGTATGTACAGGTGGGGACGTGCGGGCCATCGCCGCCGGCAGCCCAGAGGCCGCCATTTCTTTTTTTTCTGTTCAGTATGCGCTCAACTTTTACCTCGCGCAGGAGCGGGGCCCCCCAGTCGTTGCTCTGTGGGACGGCATTGTATTCGGTAAACCCTAAACCCTAAACCCTAAACCCTAAACCCTAAACCCTAGAAAACCTCCTCACCAACCTTGCGCCGCCAAGCGACACCATATGATGCAGCAGCACCACCACAGGCGACTGCCGCAGCAACAGAAGCAACTGCAACAACAGCAGCCACCTAAACAGCAGCAGCAGCAGTAGCAGCAGCAGCAGCAGCAGCAGTAGCAGCAGCAGCAGCAGCAGTAGCAGCAGCAGCAGCAGCAGCAGCTTGTAGTAAAGTTTTATTGGGGTCGTAGCTATGCGTGGTGCTGCAGGGGGCGGCGTTGGGCTGTCTGTACACGGGGGGCTTCGCGTCTGCACGGAGAATACCTTGTTCTCTATGCCAGAAGTACTGCTGCTGCTGCTGCTGCTGTTGCTGCTGTTGGTGTTGCTGCTGCTGCTGTAATAGTTGCTGTTGCTACGCCTGCTGCTGCTGCGTGAGCAGCAGTTGAGCTGCAGCAGCTTCTCCCCCGCCACCTTGTTCTACAGGTTTCTGGTTGCCATTGCTTCTGCTGCTGCTGCTTCTGCTGCTGCTGCTGCTGCTGCTGCTGCTGCTGCTGCTGCTGCTGCTTCAGGTTCACATTGGGCTCTTCCCCGACGCCGGTATGACCCAGGCCTTCGCTGCGGCGAAGCCGCGCGGCCTGGGGCTCTTCCTGGCCCTCACGGGAGAGAGACTGAGAGCAGCAGACCTCATGCGAACAGGTTTGCTGCTGCTGCTGCTGCTGTTGCTGCTGCTGCTGTTGCTGTTGCTGTTGATGTTGGTGCTGCTGCTGTTGCTGTTGATGTTGATGTTGCTGCTGCTGCTGCTGTTGCTGCTGCCGTTGCTGCTGCTGCTGTTGCTGCTGCTGCTGTTGTTGTTGCTGCTGCTGTTGCTGCTGCTGTTGGTGTTGCTGCTGCTGATGTTGCTGCTGCTGCTGCTGCTTGTTGCTGTTACTGTTCAGGGTTCGCTACACATTACCTGCCATCGGCTCGGCTCCCTGAAGCCATTGCCCGCCTACAAGAGGTGCGAGCTCTAAACCCTAAACCCTAAACCCTAAACCCTAGATAGTAAGCATGAACTCATGTACCTAAACCCTAAACCCGTAGCCCTAAACCCTCATAAACGATTAAACCCTAAACCCTAAGCTGGCTGCTGGGGGGCGCACGGATGCTCTTGCAGAGGCTTCGAATGTCAGGCGAACAAGACCATCTAGGGTTTAGGGTTTAGGGTTTAGGGTTTAGGGTTTAGGGTTGACTTTTGCGTAGGGGCCCCCTCCCCACGCCGACGCCAAGTCCTGGGCCTCGCAAGTCCTGGAGGACGTCCGCAGGGGGGCCCCTCAGGGGGCCCCCCCGGGGGGCCCCCAGGGGGCCCCCGCAGAACCCGCCGAAG